GAATTCTGGGAGTTGAAGTCCACACGTCTTCAAGTTGCCAAGGTTGAGAAACACTGGCTTAGACTTTTAGTTTCAAGATGGGGCTGAAAACAGCTGAAAGTGTGCTAAATTCTTATGCGTTGATCCTTTTCAGGAATGTAAATCTGATCCCTGCTGTGAAGCAGGAACTTGCAGACTGCACTCAGGATCGGTCTGTGGATATGGAGATTGCTGCAAAGATTGTCAGGTGAGAACTTGGCTCCAAAGCCCTGCAAGAAATAGCAGGCGGGGAGGAGGGGGGTAGAATTAGTACGGGAGAAATACATCAGCAGAACAAACCTGTCATCTTTGGCTTCGAAATCAGGCCCCTTGAGTTCCATGAAGCACTGGCTGCTTTTTGCTGGACAATAGCGTCCAGCAAATAATAGTGTTTTTGTTGGGGGTTATACGCTTTCCCCCATATTTGTCAAGCAGTGTTGTATCACGGTATTGAAGTCATCCCAAGAGGTGGAACCAAAAGTTTGGGTCCAGTATTGTTATCCAAAATAGGTGTGCTAAGCCATTCAGTGGCTCTACTCTACTGTTAAAAACTCTATTTTTAACCTTACTGTACAACAAAAATGTCCCTAAAATTGTGCTGCTGAAAATTGCCACTTGCAACCGAATCTCAGCAGTGAGTACAGATTTAGAGGAGCATCTGGAGGCTGCAAAAATGTTCTCCCTCGGGGGCTTCTTGTGACCCATAGACTGCCCAGCATGTATGGGGGATGTACAATTCCCCCAAAATGAGCTGAATTCTGTTGCCTGCTCAGATCTGAGTTTTAATGTGAATTAACAACAAAAGCTGGAAGATAAAAGACAATAGTTGGAAGGCATATATTTCCTTTTTAAAATTTTACATTATGTCTAAAAAGGCCCTTTTAGACAGGTTAGTCTATCAATTGCAGCACTGGACCCTTTATGCAGAAGTTTCTGAATATTTTCAAACGACAAGATTTAGTAGCTGGATGAAGGGCCAGAAAAGGGAAGAAACCTATCTGCAAAGAACTGCGGGTTGTTCTAAGCATGTTTTTTCAAAAAAAGGTTTAAAGACAGCTGAAAGACTGTTTGCTGTTTTCCATTTTGAAAAAGCAAGTTTGATTCCCTAGCAACTCCATAATTTTTGTGGATAGCTCCAGTAGGTGGCAGAATCTAGCAACTATGGCTGATCTCAAAAAAAGCTAAGCAGAGTCAGACCTGGTTAAGGCTTGGATGGGAGATGACCAGTATCCAGAACTATTCAGAGAATTTGAGAAAAATGCCCCAAAAGATAGCAGTGGAAACCACTTCACATATTATTGCTAAGGAAACAACAGGGATGTCACCAGAAATGAAATTCAACCCGAGGAAGTCTTACCCCCCACTCCATTTTCTTTCCTACCATTTTTTTCTTTGCATGCATTTCTTTGGGAGCGAAACCCACTCATCCCTTCTTCAAAATTCTTTTACATCCAAGCACCTGGGTGTAATGCAACGTTTTTCAGCTATATAACCAAGATGGGACTCATTGTGCAGGAAAAGTTCAGAGCTAATCATGTTTACCAACTTTTGGAGGAATGATATATTAGAAATGTATGAATAAAACAGTTCAAGGGTTGAACAACCTTTGATCAGTAATAACAGACTGTAGCTTTGTTTGCTTGATATGCAATAGCCATTTTAGATGGTTACTAGTCTGTCTTCCAGGGCTAGCGTACATAGATGAGCATGATATAATGCAGTAGTTCAGGCACTCGAAATGTGATGAACAAATGCTAAATATGATTAGGCATCATGGTGGGATAGAACTAGTGTGAGATTGGGTCTATTTTTTAAAATTATTTTTTTATCCTGCCTTTCTTATTTTTACAAATAACTCAAGATGATAAACGTACCTGATATTTCTTCCTCCTCCTATTTTCCCCACAACAACAACTCTGTGAGGTGATTTGGGCTGAGAGAGAGAAACTGGCCCAAAGTCACTCAGCCAGACTTCCATGCCTAAGGCAGGATTAGAACTCACCGTCTCCTGGTTTCTAGCCTGGTGCCAGAGACTGGCTCTCGTGTGTATATGTGTCTCTATTGCGCTTAGCTTTGTTCTAGCCTTCTTCAACCAGGTGCCATGCAGATATGCAGCAAGCCCTACAATTCCCTGATAAATGCTGAACACAGAACTCTTGGAATTGCCATTTCAGCATACCTGGAGGGCACCTGGAAGGGAAACTGAGTTCATTCCTTAATGGACCTTAAAAAGTTGACAGTGCCTCCTTTTCCCTTCTTCCCTTTCCAGTATCTTTCCAAAGGCACCGTGTGCCGTGAGGCAGCCAGCGAGTGTGACCTTCCAGAGTATTGCAATGGGTCTTCCTCCTTCTGCCCGCAGGATGTCACCATTCAGAATGGGCACCCTTGCCACCGAGACGAGGCCTACTGCTACAATGGGGTTTGCCAGTATTATGAGTTACAGTGCCAGGATATCTTTGGAGCACGTAAGGGAAATTATGATTTCAGTCAAAGCAGCCAGCACATTTTGGCATTCAGCAGGGATGTGTTACCGCTCCAAGCCTGGGATCATCTGATTTCGGAGCAGCTGTTTCCTAACACCTGGATTGGGATGTATTTTTCCTGAGCATGAGGCAGAATTAGAGTATTGTTTGCACACGTGGCTTCAGATGTGCTGCTGTAAGGATCAGTGGGAACAAAAGCAAGCCTTTGCTTTCCTTATGTTTCACCTGTGTATGTAGGTGGGGAATAGCTTTTGCCACCCAAACTACAGAAAAATTGGCCAAGGTAATGATTTTTTTTTTTAATTACAAGCGCTTTAAAATTTTCCATAGCAAACAGTGGAAGCAAAAGTTAAGCAAAAGTAAGCACATTTATTATACACTGTCTTTTCAGTCTTTAGTTTAACTTAATTTGGGGGGTCGTATAGTAAGTCACTGGAAGCCAGTATTGTTATCTAGTGGCTCTGGCTCTTCCCTTCTTGGTTTTTCTGCTTTCTTTGCATTTCATCATCATGTCAAAACCTTTCTAATAATTTGGGGTCCTTGATTTGACACTCCTTTGCTTCTTCCTTTTTAGCCTGATTTCATTTAAGTCTATTTTCACTTTTATTTGTTCGTTCGTTGACGTATTCAGTTCTATAACCGGCTTGTGTATTTATCATACGTTATGCATTTGTTAGCTTCCTTGGATGTTTAGTCTAACAGAAAAGTCAGAACAGTGAGGCAGAAAACATGTTTATTTGTTTTTAAACAAGTAAATGAAAGGGTTGTATGTATATAAAAAAAAGTATGGTTGCCTTTTTAGCTCCTCCATCATTAAGGTGGAAGACTTTGTGTCTTCAGTTCTTTTAAATGAGGAGCAGGCCATCCCTGGTGCTTACAGGTCCTACAGCACATAGTACCTATTTTGTATCCCCAAAATATATCCAGCATTTTCAGCCCACTTTTTTTTTCATTTTTTGGCCATTGGATTTTTTTAGGGGACCCTGTTTAGACCCCTTAGAAGCTCCCCCTTCCCTGTCAGGGTGATTTTTCTCATTCTGAACAGGTTTTAAGGGGCAAATTTGGAGCAGCCCTCCCACCCAGAAATTCACTGAAGTACTCCTAATCCACCCCAAAAGTTGAAAATGTCTCCATCATTTGGTATTTTGGTATTACTAGCCACATCTCAGTGACCTTCAGAGGTAAACTAATACCCTTTTTAAAAAGATTCCAGTGCATCTCTAACTGCAGAGGGAGTCTTGCTCCTGTTCTGGGCCTTGTGGGCTAAATGAGTTTTGGATTGCTAACCTTGCTTCCAAAATGTATCTTTTGCAGAAGCAAAGGTTGCCCCTGAAATTTGTTTCTCAGATGTGAATTCCAAAGGGGACCGGTTTGGAAACTGTGGTTATCAGAACCGTGAATTCAAGAAGTGTTCGAGCTGGTGAGTAGGCAGAATGGGGAAATTTTCTGGAGACCTGATGGAGGTGTTTCTTAGAAGTCCAGGGTATGCTGTTGTGGTAAGGTGCAGTAAAGGAACAAGGAACTCTGCTGGTACCTGTCCCATTGCAAGCTCCGGGATATTGTCCGGCCCAGCCCAAGAACAATGGTGAAACTGTCCAGTTGAGTCAAGTTCCTTTATGTGCTTACACCATATAGACAGAATCTTGCCAAACTAAATCTATACTACAGCAACTAGTGGATATACCCTGTGAGGTTCTAGGGAATGGCTATCCTGAACCTCTTTCACTTCCCACGCTCCTGCTCTGGACTGTGTTGTCTCTTGTCTCCTTTCCCCTCCTGGAATGCACCCCCTCCTTCCTGAAAGCCTGGATCTCCCACATCCTCCTCCTCTTTGTACATACAACCCATCACAGATATCTTCCTATCCAGGTCTGCTGAGTGGTCTTTGGATTCCCACCAGTCTTCCTGGCCCATCTGACTTTTTTTTTTAAAAAAAAACTATTTGGAATAAAAAACAAAGAAATAAGTGGGTCATAATTAACATGCTGCAAAGCAGAGCATCAGCTTCAAGCATCATCTTTCTTTCCAAGAAGACCTCCGATAATACCACGTAGACCCCCAGGGCATGCTCAGATTGAAATAGTGGTGGTTGCTCTGGGGGAATGACCACCTTCTCACCAGCCAGGCCCACCATGACATTCTTTTGATATTTATTTATTTATTTATTTATTTATTTATTTATTTATTTATACAATTTATATGGCTGCCCAACTCGCTCACGGTGATTCCGGGTGGCTTACAGAAATAATATGGTTGGTATGATTGCCTGTAACAGGATTGCAATGTTTTAGCTGGGTCTACCTCTGCAAAATGGTTGGAGATCTATGTCCGCTGCCTCTGTGAGGTTCCAGGAAGTGTTGGGCATGCTTTAAATCTTACAGTTGCAGATAGAAGGGCTGGAAACGTAGCCTGGAAGAAGAAAAGGGGTGTATGTTTTCAGAAAGCTGAAGCAGGTGCCATAGGATCACATTCTCCCATCCTCCATAACTTTCCCACTGCCCGGCTTGAGTTTATCGTTTTCTGGGGTTGGCTTTAATTCGTTCTCATGGCACCAGCCTATTAAGGGGGGAAAAGCAATTTCCTAGGAAGACGCGAAGAGGACTGACTTGGGTTGTTTTTGGTATTGAGGGCATTTTTTTTTTTCAATTTGCAAAAAAAAAATAAAATCTTGAAAAACCCTTGCCTGGAAACTGCAAATTGATGACGCTTGTTTTGAAAGAACAAACTGGCTGCCAGTTTGCTACCAAGCGAAATTCAAGGTATTTGTGACAACGTGTAGAGTCCCATAGTAATTAGGATCCAAATCTCTGAAGGAGTGCCTTCTCCCATATGTACCTGCCCATCAATTAAGACAGTGTTTCTCAACCTTGGCAACTTTAAGATGTGTGGACTTCGACCCCCAGAATTCCCCAGCCAGCATGGCT